AACTCCCCAAACCTCTGTGATTTAGCAGGAGACAAGATAAGGGTAATCACCTCAGCACCTGGACCCATTTAGATTAGTAAATTTACTGGGGCTCCAGAGGAAGGTCTTCAGGACTCAGACCTTAGTTATAGGTAAAAATAAGCCAGTCACTTATGTCTTTAGATGAATGCACACTTAACACACAGACATATAGCTTAGAAGGTCTATAAGCTCTAGAAAACTTTGTAATTTTGAGTTGGTCTGGTGATAATTTCCAGGCCTTCTCCCTGTAACTGGTTACAGAAATAAAAATTCTCTTCCTCCCCAGTTGATCTGCATCTCATTATTGGGCCACAAGAAATAGCAGCCCAACCCTCAGTTTGGTCCAGGAACAAAATTTAGCAAAACAGCCAGGAGAGACTGGGGTGGTGCCGCGTTTAGTGGCTAGTGGCTTACAACAAGACAGTCTTCAGGAGGATCCCAGCAGTTGGCAGTGAGATTTTTCCTGGGGACCCTCCTGAAGGCTGGCCCATGCACAAAAGTGCATGTCCCTTTCACCCCTGGGCAAGAACAGAGATCAGGGGCGGATGGGGGAGTTAACTGGATCGAATGCCAGAGCCTACTGTTTTCCTATCTGGGCTTGTTAAGCCATTTGTCTGGTACCGCCAAGGAAAGCAATAGAGCTCGATCATACACCCACTTTGCATTTTGGTTGAGATCAGGTTTTGAGTCTGTTTTGTCTGAGTGCACTTCCCCTTGTGTTGTCCAAAATGTGTATCCACTTGTTTGTGTATCTGTCTTACTCCTTTTGATACCATGTAAACTTGAAAATGGGAGGTATTGGGTCCATTCCTGCTGAGAGGCCTCTGGGAAGGAAAAATATTTTTTAAAAGCTCAATGGTTGAAAGTCAGTTTAATTAAAAGCTAACATCAAAGATGTATATATGTTTGTGTGCATGTGTGCATCTTTGTATCTAAAAGACCTTCATGCTTTTGTTTTTGTTTATTTCTCTCCTAGGACCTTGTCTTTTTGAGCAAAAGGTTTTTTTTCTTCTCAGTTGACTGAATTCTGTTTTCTTCATTAATAGCTATTACAACAGAAGCTCTCGGGGGTTTTTAAGAAAAAGCGTAATTTACACACTTAGAAATGTCTTTGGAAAGAAAAATTTTTTTAAGTGCACTGTAAAAGCATCACATAGTCTAGCCTCATAATAATTTTCCCTTTTGAAAGCCCAGGATCCAGTGTAGGCTCTGCCCAGGGCTGAAAAATCCAGTTAAAAGACAGGTAGTTGTGCTTGCTTCGGCAGCACATATACTAAAACTGAAACGATACAGAGAAGACTGGCATGGCCCCTGCACAAGGATGACAAGCACATTCGTGAAGTATTCCACATTTTTCTGAAAGATGTCACTTTACAGAAACAGTGCGTACCATTCTGATGTTACAATGGTGGAGTTGGCAGGTGTGCCCAGGCCAAGCAATGGGGCTGGACACAAGGCCGGTAGCCCAAAGAGTGCTGGATTTTTGCTGCACATGCTTAAAACTGCAGAATAATGCTAAACTTAAGGGTTTAGATGTACATTCTCTGGGCATTGAGCATACCCAAGTGAACAAAGCACCCTAGAGGCGCTGCGGGACCTACAGAGCTCATGGTTGGATTAACCCGTACATGAGCTCTCCCTGCTACACTGAGATGATCCTTACTGAAAGGGAACAGATTGTTTCTAAACCAGAAGAGCAGGTTGCCCAGAAGAAAAACATATCCCAGAAGAAAGTGAAGAAACAAAAACTTATGGCATGGGAGTAAATACAGCATTAAAATAATGCAATTAAAACGAAAAAAAAAGATAGGTAGTCAATATCTAAATATAGTGTCCTTATACAGTCTTATGAGAAATTTCTATAATTTTATGTTTGACCTGGCATTCATCTTTAATCTCCCTCTAGCACCATCTAGAGTTTTTTTCTGTGTCACCTAAGAGCTGTTTCCTTTAATATGCAGATTTAGGTCTATTTAGCTGACAACTGCCAGAGTAATAAACCAGGTTATCAAAAGTTTGCAAGTCTAAGACAGGAAAAAGGAGATCTTATGGATCTATAAAATGTACTTCTATTGGCATGCCTAAGATGTCTATGTATTTATGTCTTATGTATACCATGTTTCACTACTGAAAATATATGAAAGCGTTCTAATTAGTTGGCTCACAGAAAAATAAAAGTGCTTAAATACTTTAACGTAAAAAAGGAAAGACTAGTCAAATGCTTTTCAAGTTTATGTGACTTCAGTAAAATCTTTAATAAATAGGCTAGCTTTAAAAATTATTGGTAAAGGCCGGGCGCGGTGGCTCAAGCCTGTAATCCCAGCACTTTGGGAGGCCGAGGTGGGTGGATCACAAGGTCAAGAGATCAAGACCATCCTGGTCAACATGGTGAAACCCCGTCTCTACTAAAACTACAAAAAATTAGCTGGGCATGGTGGCGCGTGCCTGT